AAAAATGGACTTTTGTCCATTTTCAATGTTTTATAAGTATATATAGTATATGTATACTTGCAAATTAACTAGATATACATAATAATAAATAGAACCACAATTTGAACTATAATAATACATATTTTAGTTAATCCTGAAATAAATTCTAAATGCTTTACTAAATTGCAAGTAAATACTCTGAGCAGGCACAGTGGTCCATGCCTATAATCCCAGTGACCCAGGAAGCTGAAGCAGGAGGATTGAGATTGAGGCCAGCCTCAATTTAGCAAGACCCTCAGCAGTTTGGCAAGACTCTGTCTTATAATAAAAATAAAAAGAACTGGGAATGTATCTCAATAGTAAAGTTCCCCAAATTTAATCCTCAATGGGAGTGTGCGTGCGTGCGCGTGCGCGCACACACACACACACACACACACACAGAGTATTTTGTGAGTAGATAAATAGAAAATTAGTATTATACTGATTATTTTATACTAATAGTCTCAGAAAATTTGAAGTTAAAGTAAGTCTATAATATATATACTGAGGAGTTGGTTTTGTTCTAGGTGTTTCCCCATTTTTCTTCTCATTAATTTAATTCTTATATCATCTCTGTGGAGTAGGATCTCCATTTTTACAGGTCAAAAACTGAGGCTCAGAGGTGAAGTAACTTATTCCATGACTTAATAAAAACAAATAGCAGAGCCAGTGTTTGCTCTTAAAAGTACAGTGAACTTTATTCAGTCCGAAAGTTTGAGTATGTATGATTTAATTTTTTAAAAATATAAAAATATAGCTTGTTAGAATATTAAAATCGAGAGGACAGAAACTTTTTCTCTGCAGTCTCCTGACTCTCTTCTTTTAGGCACAAAGAAATGTTCACATTGTTTTTCTTCCTGTGCTGGGGATTGAACCAAGAGCTTCCAGCATGTAAGGCAAGCACTCTGCCATCAAGTTATATCATGGTCCAACCCCCATCCCCCCCCTTTTTTTTAGGAAAGGCTTCACTAAGTTGCCCAGACTGGCCTTGAATTTACAATTTTCCTGCCTCAGCCCCCTGAGTTGCTGGAATTCTAGGCCTGTGCCAATGCACTCAGCATGTTATCGTTTGGTTTTCAATGAATTGAATCTATGCTCTTCTGTTATCCTCTTCTCAATAATTGTAGCTGAACCATTTACCCTTTCCATTGGAGCCTACATTCTGGTGAATGCAGGTAATAAGTAAGCTAATCAATTATATGATTTCAGACACTGAATAAATGCTATGAAGGAAATGAAGTATGACTCATGTACACAGAATTATGTGTGTGGTTGTATGTGTGTGCTCATTATAGGTATTATGTTGTCTGTTGTATGTGTAAGTTTTATATGTGTTGAATGTTATTATGTGTATATACTGTGTGCATTTTTTGAGTGTGACATGTGCAGTGGGTGCTATGTATGTGTTGAATATGAATGTGTGTGTATATTGGTGATTTTGTTTTATTTTAGGTAAGATGGGACCAGAGAAGACATTTCTGAAAAATGCTTTGTTGAAATTGTAGGTCAAAAGTTAATGTTGTGTTATGGTATAGTTCTAAGAATAAGGTATATGCAATTATGTTAACACCAAACTGTAAATGTGATGATGAGGAGAGAACAATACACATTTAACAACTTCTCCTTTCTAGATTATCACACTGAATCGTCACAGTTTCTCTATGAAGTGAATATTTTAACTGGGATTCAAAAGGCATCTTCTGACCTCAGACCTTGGTGCTCTTTAAGCTTAAAAAAAATGGAGAAAGGAAAGATGTAAAGCACTGTTAGAAGTAGATAGTGGAGCTGGGTGTGGTGGCACACAGCTGTAATCCCAGTGGCTCAGGAGGCTGAGACAGGAGGATTGCAAGTTCAAAGACAGTCTCAGTAAAAGTGAGGCATTAAGCAACTCAGTGAGACCCTGTCTCTAAATGAAATATAGAATAGGGCTGGAAATGTGGCTCAGTAGTGAGAATCCCTGAATTCAATCCCTGGTACCTCCCAGGCCCCTCCAAAAAGGAAGTAAATAGTGGAGAATCATAATTTCTGATTGTGGAGAAAAGTAAAGGTGAAAGGGAAGCATGTGAAGTCCATTATTGTAGCATAACTGACTTACTGGGAATATTAATAAGCCAAAATAATGTAAAACAGAATAATGACTGCCACAGTGTGTGCTACCTGTGTGTGTGGTTTTTTTTTTTTTTTATTGCTGGTCTGGGACATTCACAGAGAAACTAATGCAGTATATTGACACATGAGGTCTATGACTTTTAAAGCTTAAAGAAGAATTGAGTGCATGCTATATAGTCCAGCTGTGTACCAAGATGCTTGTCCTCAGCATGCAAGCTGAGAACAATGGAGATATAACACAAATCCACCATACATTGCTGGATAATAGTTGAAACTTACCTTTTGCCCATGGAGCTACTAAAAATATATTTGGAATGTATTTTTTGAATTATTTAATTTCCTTAGAAATGACAAAGAGTTCATTTAGTCACATTACCGTGGAACAATGATTTTTAATTTTAGCTGTACAGATCTCCTCCTATTATAACAATTGAATTCATAGGTAGCACGAAATTGAACAATGTAAAAATTAGAACATACATATTTTAAAACTCTTAAAAATTGAATAATCACACTCAAAACAAATGTAACAAGTTTTATTAAAAGACAAAGCTTACCAGATTTATGAATAAAATAAAGCAAAAATAAAATGAGCTTCTGTACTTGAAAATAAAATGAGCAAATTCCAATTAAAATAAAGTTGGCATAGTTGTATTAATATCAGACAAAATACATTTTAATATTGTTAGAGGGTTTAGATATTGATCAAAAGAACTTGGCAGTTTTCGAATAACCAAATTAGCTTAGCCCAGTTCAACACATATGTTTTATAATATGATATTTGAGCATTAGCAGTCCATGTTCTAACTTAAGTCTTTAGTCAATCATAGTAACTTTCTTATTCTAGTTTGTTACAAATGCTAATGTATTTTGCTTTTCATCTGAACCTATATTTTAAACTCTGGATTAAATGTTATCTAGACAAAGTAAGTAGCATTATTATTTGGTTGTGAGCAACAATAGGGACACATTCTTATGGTACAAATGAAATCACTCCTATTTACTCTGTTTTAGTGGATAGATGACCTATATTCATTAGTGAGAAAGTAACTTTAGAATGATGGAATGCCTCAAGGAACAGTTCTCTTTTTTCTTCATGATCACCTGAATAGACCAAGTTAATTATGGTACATAGATTAGCGGAGCTACTGTGTCCTCACAAAATGGATAGGCACAGAATCAGCATCAGCATTGAGGAAGCAGAAAGCCTCCACAGTGGCCAAAGGATTAAGCACTTTTCTTTGGCATGAGCTCATATTGTTCCTTCCAACATTTATGCTGTTGTATAAATATTTTTATTTTGTGTGAAGTCAAATCAGTACCACCAGGGCAATGAACTTTATTTGTTGGACATGTTGTACTGGTGATTTTATGTAGTAGACTGTTAAAAATTCTATTCTATTAGAGATGTTGACTTCAGTGTTAGGTAATGGATGAGGGAAAGTGAATTAGCAGGAATTTAGATGCTAAATTATTTTGATTTTGTTAACATGTTAATTTGTCTTTTTTGTGGTTCATTTTAGCATGATTATAGTTTTCTCCCCCTCAGAAATCTGATTTTTCTTAACATATGTCACATGATTTATGTTGTACAATATGATATGTATTAACTCTTATGTCAGCCACTGGCCATTGATAAAAGTGGACAGTTTTCATGAGGATATTATCCTAGCAAATGAGATAATAAAGAATTCAGAGCGATTGAATAAGTCACTGTGTATTTAAGAAGTGTTTTTAGACTACAATTACAAATATAGCAGCTTTAAATGCTCAAAATATGTTTCTCTCTTTTGATCTTAAATAAGTTTGCTCATCAGTAAAAATTAAGAAGACAATTGAGCTACCTAATTTGCAGGGTTCTTGTGAAATTAAAGGAAATGCAAATATTTGTTATTTTTTAAATATAATCTGGAAGGGGATGATGGTGGGAGGTATTGTAATAGGTATTTTGAGGCAAAAGGTTGAAAATGTCATAAATGAAGGCTTTTGACTTAAAAGCTAAAATTCTTTAAAATCTTCAGATTGCTTAAAAGTGAGACCTATCCAGGTAAAGACTGTCATAAAAACAGGTGGCTGTTTATTTTCAGTAATTTGAAGGAGCTTGGTAAGTACTAAGGATTCTTTCTTCTGCCATGTAAAGATGACTTAAACACATCTAAAGGCTTGGTACTGCAAATGTAAGTTAGAGAAATGGGTAATATTACTAGAAGCCATGATATCATTGAAACCAGAGAGTGGACTACAGATAGAATTTTTCAGTTACTATCTTTACTAAATAAAAAGCTCATTTTGGTTAAGAAGTTGTTTGGGTGATGCACTTGGTTTTCCCTGTCCATTTTGTAATAGTGTGGAAAGTAACTTCTTAATATGAGGAGTACCTACAGTGCTCTGGTGTTACAGCATCAGTATATGAAGGTAACAGAAGTAAAGCAAGCTTGGGAGAAAGAATGTCCTGGATCAATACTCCAATATAGAAGTTAAATTTAATATAACATGAAAGCAAATACATAGGATTTTTGTGTTATCACAAATTATTAAAATACAGCTTTTATATATGCTGAAAAGAACTTGAGTAAAAGTTGTATGACAGATTATCCTGGTTTGTCTGTGGATTTTGATTTTCAGTGCTTAGCATCCTTCTGGGAAAACTGGGACAGTTGGTCATCCTAAGAGGAAAATATCAGATAAATATTTGGGCTTTAAGTTGCACCAATTGATCTCAATATAAACTGAAGAAAAATAACAATGCCCTTAGGAATGTCTCTGTAATATAGTTTTACCAAATGTTTTGTGAGGAGCAGGAGTTGGGGAGAATTTCTGTCTGCATTATTGAGCATATGGTTGTCATAGTAGTTTTTCCATTCACCTTGTAGCATTGAAGAGAAATAAGATGGTATCATGCACCAACATCCACACCCTTTAGGAGAGTTTCTGGTGGAATGATCCACGGTCTCGTTGCAGAGATGGGAGGAGGACCATGCAGAGGAAAACAACTCACCATACTAGAGTAAGTCTATGACAGCGATATAATCAGAAAGGTGGGCTGACTCCTTGAGAGCAAGTGTAGCAGCATGAAGTTCCCATTCCTTGATTTCTCGAGTGTGGACAGCAACAGAAAAAGAAAGAGGCTTTTCTTCAGTTAGTATACCAAAGAGAAACTGTAAAGAGAAATAGCTGTTTGGTTAGAGAAAGCAAATATCCAGGTTATCTTATAGGTCCAACATTTGTTGAACATAAACACACACACACACACACACACACACACACACATATATATATATATATACATACTTAAGAATCTTGCTAGGTGCTTGAGGAATGTGATGATAATTAAGATGAGCAATAAGAGCAACAGACTCTTCTGAGTTTTTGGGCTGGATAATTCTCTATTATGAGGGGATGTCCTGGGTTGGTGTTTATCTGCATCAGTGATCTCTAATTACCAAATGTAACAGCACCTCTCCCAAGTTATGACAGTCAAGAATGTCTGAAAACATTTATCCTTTGGAGGATAAATTGATTTTTGTTGAGAAAAACTACTATACATACTGATAGTTCATATTGCCATGTAAAGATGACTTAAACACATGTGAAGCAGTGAATTCCATCTTAATTAATACTGCCATTAATGGATGCAGTTGGATCTTGTTGGAGAGGGATAAAATATTAACCATTCATCACTATCATTTATTGAACACTTACTATGTATAAAGAAGTGCACATGATAATTAAGGCGTTACATTTATTATATAGATCCTTACAAGGGTTTTATGAGGTTGGGGCTTCACAAGGTTAAAAAATGAAAGGATTCTCAAGGCTCTCAGAGTGTACTCTTACAAGGCACTTGTTTTAGCCAGCTTTTTTTGTTGCTGGTGTCCAAAAGACCCTGACAAGAACAACATAGAGGAGGAACAGTTTATTTTGGCTCATGGTTTCAGAGGTTCAGTCGATGGCGTGCCAACTCCATAGCTCTGGATGAGGCAGAACATCATGGCAGAAGGGCATGGCAGAGGAAAGCAGCTCAGACATAGCAACCAGGAAGCAGAGGGAAAGCTCTATTTACTAAGGACAAAACATAAACCCAAAAGGCACATACCAATGACCTCCAGCCAGCTCTATCTACAGTTACCTACATTTACAACCTACTTAATTCACTGATTATTTTATGTCTCTGGTAATCTAATTATTCACCTCTGATAATTCTTGCATGGTCTCAGACATGAAATTTTGGGGGATACTTTATACGAAAACCATATAATTCTGTCCCTGGCCCCCAAAAGCTCACACCCATCTTATAATGCTAAATATATTTAGTCCATTTTCAAAAGTCCCCATAGTCTTAACAGTTCCTACATTACCAAAAAGTTCAAGTCCAAAATCTCATCTGAAACTCAAGGCAAACTCATGGATGGTTTTTCCCTGTAAAGATCAAAAGCAAGATATTTATATATCTATATCTATATATATATAGATATATAGATATAGATGGATATAGATAGATATAGATAGATATATAGTATAATAATAATTATATATATAATGGCACAGAGTAAACATTTCCATTCCATAAGGGAGAAATAGGGGCACAGAAAGAAGGGATGGGATCAAAAAAGATCAAAATTCTGCTGGAAAATTCTGTGGTTCCACATCCAGCAGCTGGGGCACGTGACATTGTGATGTTCTCTACAAAGGGCTTGTATAGTTCTGCCCTTAATGGCCTTGCTGGTGAAGTACACATGGCCTCTCTTGCTTGTTTCTGCTCAGTTCCTGCAGCTTCCTTAGCAGACATCCCACATTATTGGCATCTCTTTTTTTAAATTTTTTTTTATTTTTTTATTTTATTTTTTTTATTGGTTGTTCACAACATTACAAAGCTCTTGACATATCATATTTCATACATTAGATTGAAGTGGGTTATGAACTCCCAATTTTACCCCAAATGCAGATTGCAGAATCACATCGGTTACACATCCACAATTTTACATAATGCCCAATTAGTAATTGTTGTATTCTGCTACCTTTTATTGGCATCTCTTATTCGTGGGACTCTCCAGTAGCTTCAGCTTCCTTCTTACATCTTTATGCATCACTCTATAAGGGACAATCCACAGAGATTCTGGCCTCTCAGGCCTTTTAAATCTTGGTGGAAACCTTCATGATCCCCCAGTTACAGCATTCTGCACTCCTGCAGAACCAGAACTATATGGTTGATGCCAAGGTCTGTCACCATCTCAATCAGTAGCCAAGTCTCCTGGGACCATGGGTGCAGCAGCTTCTGAGTGTTTGGGAAACTGATCATGGTAAAACATACAACAAACAAACAAACAAACTTTCTAGTCATCCCCTTCCCCTGCAAGCAGGGTGCCCCCAAGGCTTCTTCTCAAAGGAATTTTTACTTTTGTACCCTTTAGCCTGAATTAGGTGTGATCTTGACAATTCTTGAGATAACCTCAAGCCATCTTTCCTATTGTTTCTAAGTATTTAGCATTTCTTTAGTGGCTGTAATATCTTTAACAACCACACTTAGCCCCAGTTTTACTTGCACTTTTTTGTACAAACTGCAAGTTTTTAAGATCTTTCTGCTCTGCAATCTCCTCCTGATTATCACAGCAAATTTGGCTAGTCTATCAGAAATATCCATGTAGTCTTCTGAAATTTCCTCTGCCAGATGAATTAGTCCATCATCTTTAAATACAGCCAGAAAACTTAGGACATGGGCAACATGAAGACAACTTCTTTGACAGAACATAACATGAATGGCCTCTAGTCCAATTTCCAGTAGAGTCTTTCTCCTTCTCTGAAATCTCATGAGTCCAATCTTTACTGTCCATAGTATTATTGGCATTCTATTCTTTTGAACTCCCACCAAAATTGTCCATTAAGCTCCACTTACAACAACCTAATGCTTTTCCAGCTTGCATCTGTAAACTTTTAAAATTCCCTCCCTGCAAACCAGTTCCAAAGTCTTCTAAATGGTTAGGTTTGTCATTCAACTGGTACCGATTTCTATTTTAGTCAGTTTTGCATTACTTTGACTAGAAGATCTGATGAGAACAAGATAGAGGAGGAAGAGTTTATTTTGGCTCACAGTTTCAGTGGTTCAGTCCACAGTAGACCAACTCCATAGCTTTGGGCTGAAGATGAGGCCAGTTCTTCAGATTTTAGACATTCAGATAGGTATCATGGTCTCTTGTTTTAATTTGCAATTTTACAATGACAAATAATTTTATGAATTTTTCACATACATTTTCCCCATCTGTGCATCTTTTTTGGAGAGGTGCCAGTTTAAATATTTCACCAATTTTAAGTGAGTTATTTATTTTCTTTTCATTAAATTTTAAGTATTTTTTGTATATTTTGAAAATAAGTCCTTTATCTAATATGTTTTAGAAACATTTTCTTCCAATCTGTAGCTGTCTTTTCATTCTGTTAATATTATCTGTTGCAGAAAAGGAGTTAATTTTAATTAAGTACAATTTATTAATTCTTTCTTTAATAATAGTTCTTGCTTTTGGTGTTGTATTTAAAAACTTGGTTCCAGGTATGGTGGTGTTCATGTGTAAACTCAGCAAATAGGGAGGCTGAGGCAGGAAGATTGCAAATTCCAGACCACCCATGGCAACTTAATGATACCCTATCTTAAAATAAGATTACAAAAAAAGAGGTTGGGAACATAGTTCAGTGGTGGATCACTCTGGGTTCCATTTCTACTAACAAAACAAAACAAAACTAAAACTTATCATTAAAACTAAGGTTACCTGGATTTCCTCCTATTATCTCCTAGGAGTTTTGTTGTTTCAAATACTACTTTTATGTCAATAATCTTAGGGTAATATTGTGAAAAAATAAGGTCTACATTCTTTTTTGCATTTTGCTTTTTGCTGTGAATGTTCAATTATTCCAGTATTATTTCTTGAAATGACTTTTTTTTTTCTTTTGGTCAACTTTATTGATATCAAATACATCCCTTCTTTTTCCCCCCACATTTTAAATTGGGGCATTGTAGTGCACCAATTGTAGTTGTACATAATGATGGGATTTGTTGTTGCATATTTGTTCATAATATAACTATATAATTCGACTAATATCACTTCTTAGCACTTCCCGTCCCCTCCCTTAGTTTCTTTCCTGAAGTGATCTCTCTTTGATTTTCATGAGATCTGCCCCCACCTTTCTTTTTTCCCCTCTGGCTTCCACATATGAGAGAAAATACATGACCCTTGACCTTCTAAGTTTCACTTATTTTGTTTAACATAATGGTATCTAGCTCTATTCATTTCCCTACAAATAAAAAAATTTCATTTTCCTTTATGGACGAATAAAACTCACATTTATAAGTATATATACACCACATTTTCTTTATCCATTCATCCATTGATGGACACTTAGGCTGGTTCCACAGTTTGGCTATTATGAATTGTGCTGCTCTAAACATGGTGGGTATACATTATCACTGTAGTATGATAACTTTAATTCTTTAGTATAAATATTGAGGAGTGATAGAGATGGGTTGTATGATAGTTCCATGTCTAATCTTTTGACAAACCTCCATGCTAAAAGAGGAGTGTTTCTTCACATCCTCTTCAGCATTTATTATTTGAATTCTTGATGATTACCATTCTGACTAGGGTGAAATGAAATCCAAATGTAGTTTTGACTGCATTTCCCTAGTTGCCAACAATATTGAACTTTTTTTTTTATATTTTTGTGGGCCATTTATAATTCTTCTTTTGAGAAGGATCTGTCTGTTTAATTCATTTACTCATTTATTAACTGAGGGTTTTTTTTGGTGGAAACTTTTTGGGGCTTTTTATATATTCTAGATATTCAGCTTCTGTCAGAAGAATAGTTAGCGAAGATTTACTCCCATTTGTAAGTTCTATCTTCACATTTCTAATTGGTTCCTTTGCTGTTCAGAAGCATTTTAACTTGATGACATCCCATTTATTAACTCCTGGCATTATTCCCTGAGTTTTAAGGGTCCTATTGAGAAAGGAAAATGACCAT